TATCAGCCCAAAGAACAGACAGGCTTCAGGACAGGATATGGCACAATAACCATTTGCGTACCATAAAGATCTTAATAGAAAAGTGCATCAAGTACAACATACGACTGGTTCTTGCATTTGTCGATTACGGGAAGGCTTTTGATTCTGTAGAGTTTGAAACAATAAAACTGTTCTTAAAAGTACCATTAGTAAGTACTAATTGACTATAATAGTAAGTATATTGACTTTATAGGTCAAAGGCTAAAGTTACAATAGAAAATTTGTATTTTACAGGAGACTAATCATTCCTACTAATATTACAGATAAAATAGTTACGTTAGATAAAATATACAAATAGCTTACAGTACGAAAAAAGTGTACACTTGGAGAAATATAGGAGATTAAACAAAAATGAGACCTCTGCAAGAATGGATATATCAATATAGTTAAAATATTAATAGATATTATGTAAAATACATTGATTTTTGTATTTCTCCAATGATGTGTTTGTAATTTTGTCTATAGTCTATTTGTGACTAATTTTTTAATTTTCTCCTGGTATTAAATTTTTATCCATGATTACCTTGTCTGCTGATAAGTTTATTTCGACTCAATGTCTTTTAGAGCTTCTTTGAACTTAAAAAAGCACAAAATCAAAACCAAATGTAAGTAGAGAGGAGAAATTATCAAAGGTATATGAGTTAACAAGGGGAACGCAACTGTAATCATAGACAAAATTTAATACCACAAGAACATCCACTAATTAGTCACAAATTGACCATACACACATACATAATTTTTTACTTTATAAGTACAAAATATAAATTATAATTTTTTATGTTCTAATAAATATTCCATAACACTATTAACCCTTTCGTCCACAGCATCCGCAACTGTGGACATACATTTTTGCATGCTCAATTGTATGATATTCTATTAGTATGACTGTTCATGTTGTCCACGCTAGAGGACCTCTAAATATTCCATATTCATGCACTAGGCCCCATCTGTTGGCAAGTAGAAAAAATATTGGAAAAGTTTTAGTAAGATTCTGTCACTATACAGGCATCTATACCATGCAAACAATAACTTATTTTTTGACTAGGTGACTTTGATCCCCACTAGGTGGGGGTGCAAGTGACATCCCCACATGTGGACTGTATGAATAAATGGGTTCTCTTCTAGAGTAGGTAAATATAACCTAGTCCATTGATACTACTTGTTCAAATAAATATATTTGTAATATTTCAGTAGCCAGCATGGACTTAAAACCCATGAGCAGCTGCTTAATGTAGTAGAAAATCTTTCAGATATTGAACATATATGTCAGACGATGGTGGTAACATTGATGCTTTAGAGCAGCAATTTGAAGATTTGAAAGGTAAAAATATTTATTTTGAAGTAATATAAACTACTAATTATATTTATTTTCAGTAGAAACTGAAGAAGACTTACAAACAGGAAAATGGTGATCCAAATAAACCAAATTTTGAAGATGAACCTCTCGTAGTAGAAGTGTAGTATGTGGTCGTTGCAGGACCAAGTACTTCTCAGGCATTTTCTCAAGATCAGAGATCATTGTGATAAAACAAACAAGACATATATAGAAATAAATAGGTCACAGGTAATAAAGGATTACAATTTGTCAATGGGAGGTGTTGACAAATTCAATTTCTTTCTAACATTGTACAGGACCTTTATTAGGTCACACAAATGGATGTTTGTGAATATTCACACATGGTATAGATTCAACCTGTATGAACGCCTGGCTGGAATATAAAAGGCAAGCAACAAATTTGCAAATACCAAAGAAAAGAATCATTTTCACACAGAAATTGCACATAAAAAAAAAGAGAATGACCACTTTCGATAATGCCTGAATCAAAAACACCTAAAAGAAAAACATTGAAGTATGACCATTAAAGGAAGTAAGATTGAACAATGTAGGGCATTTACCTACTGTTAATAACTTGAAAAATGCTTAGCGTTGCAAGAAACCCAGATGGAAGGGAAAATCTTGTATATCTTGCTTCAAATGTAAAATTCATTCAGTACATAAATTTTGTATAATGTGTCATTGAATAAATATTATCATTGTTCTCAGTATTTATTTTTTCTTTAAAGCACACTCTTTTTACACCGTTATTTCAGTGTCCTCAAGTGTGGACATGCTATTTTTTTAAAAATGGAAAAACATTTCGACTTTGAGCAAACTCCATAAATCTTAAATAAAGTCAAATAACCAATATTTAAAATTTCAAATATTTAGGCTGAGTTTATAAAAATTAGGAGCGAAAAGGTTAACATCACAGTACAATATTTCAATGCTAAATTTCTGAATATGGCCATCTTCTTTTCCACAAATTTCAATATTGCACTAACTTTGGATCCGTTCTAACTAAAAATTAAAAAACAAGTCAGTAAGGTCATATATTGTTAAAAAAAACTACTTTAAAAAAAAAAGACTTAATTCTTTCATTTGTGAAAAAATTGAAAAATCCAAAGGATTAAAATCGAACTTCTTTGTGGTCAAACAAACTCACTTCCACAGTCAATCCATCAATGTAAAAACTGTTAATTTAACTACTGACAAAGATATTCACAATTATACCCAAAACGAACGCAACTCAACTGCAAACTATTTGAAATCTGTACAACCACCTAGGTAAGATGGGGTCTTTAGGTCCTAAAAATCAACACGGAGCTACAAAACTATTACTGTCAATGAAGAAGATGAAATTTTAATTCTTGTTGCAGAGAATCCAGATATCACATTACTACTCACATGATCATCTGGCAACAGGGATAAGCCAGGATAATTGTCTGTTTTTAGAATATTGAAGAGGGAAAAATTGTATCCATATCATTACACTCCTGTTCAGAATTTACTATCTCAAGATCTATGTGCGCATCTACACTTTGTTCAATTTCTACAAGATAAACAAAATATTAACCCAGATTTTCTGGATACAGTTATTTTTACTGATGGGGCAACATTTACCAGACGAGGAATATTTAAATGGAGAAATAATCATTTGTGAGATTCTGAAAATGGTCATACTAAAAAACAAACCCATTTTCAGCATGACTTTAAGGTTAACATTTGGTGTGGTGTAATCTGTGACTACTTATTAGGTCCTTTTGAACTGCCAACCAATTTAAATGGATCTCTATTTATATTTTCTTCAAGAACATTTACAAGAATTACTAGAGGATATGCCTCTCAGCTAAACATGGGGTTTTTGCTTGACAGGGCACCACCACATTATACTAAAGAACTTTATTAATACTTAAATCAACAGTTTTCCCATAGATGTATTGGTCATGGAAGTGATATCATGAAATCCTGATATTTTGAGGTCTAGAATCTGCAACTCTACAAAGATAGGAAAATAACTAAGTGGGATCATTTACAAAAAATAAAAGGTACAAGACCAGTGAAGAAAATATGGCAAGCAAAAGAAACTACAAGGAGAAAGCCAGGACAAACAAAGGAATAAACAATTGGCAATTTCATCAAATATATTACAAAATAAACTATTGCAGACAAAGGATATTAATACATTAAACAGAAAAATGTTTATTTTTTACTAAAATTTGCAAGAAATAATGTATTTAATTTACCTTATTTTTTTCATCTACTGTGTCAACTAATCAAACAAAATCAACTAATCTTCAAGATGAACATCATTTCAAATTGGCCATTCCCTTGTGGCTTCTCAGCAGTGTAGTCTTTGGCTTCAATTGTGGCTGTTATGTCTAGATCAATTACCAGTTCTCTCGGAATATCTTGATTCATCACTCTATCAAGTCTAGTGAGACAGCAACATCCACTCCAATAGTTCATTTCTATGGCTCTAATTTGATATCTTTATCACCTGCAGTAATAATTCTGTTTTTTTTTTATTATGCCAATTATTCTTTATGTCCCCTATTACCTAAAACATCATTAATACAATAATCAATATTGTTTTCATAGTTCAATTTTAATTTTTTGTTCAAAAGAAAAAACAAAGAATGTTCAATAATGAATCAGGTATTCAAGTGCAGCTTGCTAATATTTGAGAAATAAAACCTAGTTTTAATTATTATTTGATATATGAATACCTACTGTAATAAGGTTTAATATGGACTGTTGTACATCTTCATTCTTCATTATTATTACTTTTGACTTTCAGTAATACCAGCACAGCATAGGAACAAATTATGCTGTGATACCAGACCAGCATACTATGGATTTGATGAGGAATTCTGAATTTTAGTGGAAAATACTGTCAAATATATTAGTTTTGTCCAAGTTTATTAAAAATAGACAGGTTGTCTGGTAGCTTTACACCAATCAGCGTCGAGAATCTAATGGCGGGAATGACGTCACTGAGAATGCTACATTCGTACATTCAAATTCATTCACTTTACTCCTTGAAATGAACTCGGAAAGCAGCAATGATTGTAAATATATTAATCTATGTATATTGAAAAAATACGTTTGGACTTTTAATAACAATTTATTTCATTCAATCTTTAAAAAATGTGGGAGATAAGTACCTGCAGAGTTACAGAAATCATAACACTCAAAAAAAATCACTCAATAATATCTATTGACATATTATATCTCAAGATAATAACATAAACTAAAGCACTAACGATATTTAACAACAAAATATATTCTCCAAACCACTTCTCCTACTTTATTTTCAAACAATTCGTAAAATTGACCCCCTGGGTGACGTCACACGTCATATTTCATTCTGTCAATGTCACAGTTACCATGCAACCTCCCGTTTACTAACCTTGATTTTTGTCATATTTTTATTTTAATAGGCAACCATTATTTCACTTGGTTGTATGAAGAATAAATGTAAGGTAGTGAATGCTGCTATAGGCAACAAATATTTCAATTGATTGTAATAAAAATTGCATAAATTTGTCAATTTTAGTTCAATTCGGATGTTAAAAAGGAAACATTTTGATAAACGGTATATACATATGTGTATAGTTAGTTGCCTATACAACATATTTGATGAATTCCGAATTTTAGTGCAAATTCCTGTTAAATATGTTATTTTTGTCATGTTTTTATTTGTTTATCGAAATCCAAGAGTAAATCAGCAGAGTACAAGTATATAATATATTATATTTGCATATATTTGTATATAATATTCGTTGGTACATGGCTATAGAGTAAATAAAATGATACAAAATATCCAAAACAGTATTGGCTGATTAATTCAATGGTAATTTAAAATGGAATACAATGAGGATTTTAAAGATTTTAGAAATCAACAAGTACTAAAATTTAGGATAGATGAAGTTGATTCCTTTAAGGAAAATGAGAATCTACAAATTAAATCAGAAATATTGGATTGCAACTTTGAAAGCAATACTGTAGAGGATTGTGTGTTAGCCCAGTCATCTTCACAATATATTAAACTGGAAACCTCTACTGTAAAAGAAGAAATGCGAAAATCATCCCTTATTATTAATATTCAAGATGTAAAGCTTAAAATAAAGAAAAAACTAGGTGAATTTACCATTACAGGTAAGTTTTTACATTACATATGTAAGTATAATATATAGGAACACTGCATAATCAAATAGACCTGCATTATTTGCTGTCCAAAATTGGTTTATTGTTTATTGAGGGCAACTTGAATAGTAAGAGTATACCTCGATTTGTTACAGAATCATGTTCTTCCTGATATAAATCTGGAGAATGTTTGGTTTCATCAAGACCGTTATATCCCATGCGTTGTTATGTGTTACTAAATGGTTTTCTCGTTTTCTGTCTAGGTGTCGGAGGGGATTACTTACCTTATAAGAGGCAATGTTGCTGATTTTAGCACTTTCTGTAGTGTGCAATATCTAATCCAAAACTTATCGTACTGTATAAAAATTTATATAGTTCTGTTTTTATTTTAGGTGATCCACATCATGTTTTAAAAGAACGCTTGAGAGTATACAAGTGCAGACAACCTTTTAAATGTGAACTTTGCATTAGGAAATTTTATCTCAGCAACAAGTTACATATAACTTACCAATGTGAAATTTGTTCGAGGAAATTTAGATATGCAGATAATTTAAATGCCCATTTTAAAACACACACTGGCGGAAAACCTTACAAATGTGAGACTTGTCAGAAGAACTTTTCCAATGATTTTAATTTGAAAAAACACTTAAAAACTCACATTGAGGAAAATCCATTTGAATGTGAAATTTGTACTAAACAGTTCTCTCGAAGTAGTAATTTTTATAGGCATATGATACTGCACACTGAAGGAACTTTTTGAAAAAGATAAAATGTGATATTTGTTTCCCACAAGGATTATTTAAATATGTATAGCCGATATCTTCTTCATTGTCTTCATACTGTACTATTTCTGATAAAATGTAATTTATGTTTATAGCTTTGTTCAAATTAAAATTTGTTAAAAGTAAAAATTGTTTCGATGTAACTGTTACTATTTGAATAAATTACATATTTATTTTTATTACTTCTAAGTTTAACATATATTTAACCCGGCATCTGACAGGTGAAATTGTGTAGCAATGTTCGACACTTGGTGTGTGGCAAACTCCAAGTTGAAAATATACTCATTCCTATATCTCGTAGATTTTCATATTAATAACATAACAATATCTTTATTTTTAGAAAATAATATACATTCCGTGAACATAAAATCATTTAAAAAAAAAACAGTGTCACAAATGAAAATATTATTTACTTATTCCTAACCGTTACATATACAAATAGTCCTCCACAGAATATGGCTCAAGAGCTACCAGTAATTTAAATATTTGATGTTTATACAAACTTAATCTTTCCTCCCTTTTAATAGGTTCAGGCAGTTTATTAAAACAATTTGATGCAGCAATAATGAGCGTTTTTTTCTGTTATACTTAACCTGTGAATTGGAATTTTATAATTATATAACCTGGTATTTACTATACTATTGGGCTCAAAGTTCCTAAAGAGTATTTTATTTTTATATAGAAACAGTAAGCATTCTTGAATAAATACAGCATAAACTGTTAAAATATTATTACTCCTAAAATGCCCTCTACATGATTCCCTACTTTTTAAGTCAAACATAACTCTGATTATTTTTTTCTGAACCAGAAATACATTATTTATGTCCCTACTGTGCCAAAATTTATTAGACCATATCTAAATTTTGCTTCAAAATTAGCATGATACACTGTTTTTAATGAGTTACTATTCATGTATTTTTTTAAAACTCTAAAGCTGTAAATCACTTTACTCAAAGACATACATAACTGGTCAACATGTTTATCCCAACATAAAAAACTGTCAATCCTAAAAATTTGGTACTGCTGCTAATATTTAAAGTGTCATTATTTACAATAATACTGTTTGGCATATCTGAATGTGCATAATTTGTCTTAAACAAAAGAAGATCTGTTTTATTTTGATTTAAAACTAACCTATTCATAGAAAACCAGTCTTTAGCTTTCTGGAATTCGAAACTAGCATTAACGCTTAGAACAGACATGTCTTTACCACTGACTAAAATGTTTGTATCATCTGCATAATTTGTTATGCTGGAAGTAGTATTAGCCACTAGACCATGAAGATCATATAGATCACAAACAGTAAAGGACCAATCACACTTCCTTGTGGTACTCCAATATTGATAGTGCTTTCAGATGAGATGCCTATTTCAGTGTTTTTATGTATTTTTAACTATTCCTATTTCTATTTGCCAAGTAGGATTTAAACCAGTTCAATGCTGGTCCACGTATACTATATTTCTTCAATTTATCAAATAATATGTCATGCACTAAACAGTCATATGCCTTTGATAGGTGTAAAAAGAGACCCAAAGCCATATGACCAATCTCAGTACATTTCAAAATATCCCAGACAAATTGAAAAATCGCAGTCTGAGTTGATTTTCCCTGTTGATAACCATGCTGATTTGAACTAATAATATGAAATTTTGTTAAAAATTCTGTTATCCGCCTATACATAGTCATTTCTAAGATTTTTGAAAAGGAACATAGAAGGCTAATTTGGTCTATAGTTATTAATTAATTTAGGATCACCCTTTTTGTTAACAAGTGTTACTATGGCAGTTTTCAGGCATTCAGGAAATACACCAGATTTTAGTGAATTATTTATGATTGTAGTGAGAGGATTCACTATCTCCTTTATACAAAGTTTAAGGATTTTAGTGGGTATTTCATCAATTCCACAACTCATTTTGTTTTTTAAATTTTTAGTTATATCCATAATTTCAGTTTCTGTCACAGGTGCGACAAACACTGAACTTATGTTACTTGCAATGTTGTTTTTATATTCAGTGTATTGTAATTGAGATAAAGTGTTATTTAAAGAAGTATTTAAGTGGATCATGTATTTATCAGCAATCTCTTGAGGACTACCCTCTACTTTTATTGAATTTACACTTTTTAATTGACCATTAATTTCACTAACAATTTGCCACATGCATTTATTTTTGTTGGCAGCTTCAGACATCATGTTTTCATATAGCTTTGATCGTTTTGTTATTAGTTTCTTATTATATTCTTTTTTTACCTGTCTATAGGAATCATAGAATTTATGGTTAACTCTGCTTATTGTAAACAAGATGTCTAAACGAGTCTTACTTTCTATTATCTCTGGATCATCTCTTTTATTAAGGCCCTTTTTACGTTGCTTAGAATCTAACTTTTTAAAAGGAAAGCACTGATTGAATATATACAGAAACTGATTTAAGAAAGTATTCCATTGATCATTTACACATTTGTAACTTAAATTAAGCCAGTCATGATTATGTAATTTACTTATAAAGGTTTCAATATTATTTGTACTAAAATGTCTTTTCATTTCAAGAGTATTCGTTTCTGCTTCCTCTACCTGAAAAGGTAATTTTTGGGTAGAATGATCAGAGATTCCAGCGTGTAAGACTTCTACTGACACATATGATCGCATATTTGTTAGTATGTTATCTATACAAGTTTTAGATGTGGCAGTTACTTTAGTGTAGTCTTCAATTACATGACAAATATTATATGAGTTAATTAAACATACAAAATTTTACTTTATCTAATGTGTTATTCTTAAGATCGATATTGAAATCTCCCCCTATAATTATAATTGTGTTTTCTATCATAATTCTCCTAGTATAATATCAAATTTGTTTAAAAAAACTGCCAGATCGCTACCTGATGGTCTGTAAACTGATGCTGTAATGAGTTTGTTATTACCTATACATATTAGCTTCGCATACAGCATACTCTATTACCCTATCTACTGATAACTCTTGTATATCCTTTCTTTCCTGGCCAATGATGTCTTTACTAAGATATATAGCTGTTCCTCCATGTTCATTCACATTATTTATACAATGACTAGCTGTCAGCACAAAATTGTTAATTCCATATTCACTTAATTCTTCTTTAGTTTTCCAATGTTCTGTTGTGCACAATATTTTACAGTCACTGTTGTTTTGTTATAAGTTCTTCTATTTCATCAATACAATTTCCTATGGATTGGAGGTTCTGGTGATGATACTTATATTCTTTGCTCATGTGACTGTGTTTTGTATTTCAATTTCCTTGTGTTGGTGTGTCTTGTGCTCTCTATTTTCTCCTATGAAAAATTTCCACCTCGGTTATCTAGAAAATAATTAGTATAGTTAATATATAAACTAATATATAATACTATCTTCTTTTCATCATCAGCAAAACGGATGTATTTGATCCCTTCCGTACAGTTTTCAAGTGCTTGCGTAAATAACTCTTCAGAATATATTAAATAGTAATAGTGAAAGTACACAGACCTGTCTCACTCCTCTTATCTGTTGCGCATCCGTGCTCTTTCCATCGAATGTTACCACAGCCTATTGTATCCAATAGAGATTTCTCAGTATGTTAATGTCATTTTTGTCGAGTCCTTTTCTCTTTAGACATTCCATGAGAAAGTTACGTTTAACTTTGTCAAAAGCTTTCTCATAGTCTATAAACGCAACGAAAAGATCTTTTTGTGGTCTCGACATTTTTGGGCAAGAGTTGTGAAACTATACAGAGCTTCCACTGTTCCGAAGCTGTTACGAAAGCCAAACTGTCTATTACTCGTATCCGATTCGCATTTTGTGAATATTCTTGCATGTATAATATATGCTTTGCTTTGCCATCGAAATATTCCATTTTTCGAAGACTATGCAGATTTGCAATTTTCCACAAGCCTGTCGAAGAAAGCTCTGATATGATCTAGTTTATCTACCTTGACCCTTTCTTCGCGAATTTGTTTGTTATCGAATCTTAGACATGAAATTAAAAATTCGAATCGACGTTGGCCCATTGTGCAACGGAAAACGTCCATGCCTGTTCCGCTAGTGTTCCACAATTCATATAAATGACGATGGTTATTTCTGAATGCACCAGACAGGTAAATGAGCCCCAACACAGATGTATTTCCATGATGTGAAGGGTTCTTCAAACTTTCATATTTTTCTGCAATTCGTTGGTTAGTATGCTTAACCAAGTCTGCAATAATTTGTCCATCAATAAATAGTAGGAAGCACTCAATTGGTGTCTTGGCATGCTTTGCGTGATTTTTGACTCCCGGTAAATGTGTAATTAAGTTTTCTGCTCTTGTTCGAACATTTCCGTTATTGGGTTCTTTACTCCATTTCATTCCATTCTTTCCGGGGTAATAACAACCTTGTCTGATACTTTCTAAGTACAACAGCTTGCTGATTTCCCATTCTGTTCTTCGGGTTTTTGTTCTATATCTGGATAATCGCTGCTGATACTTCATCATCAGTGCCATTACAGCTCGTTATGAGCCAAAGCCTTCTTTAGAACCATCTTCCATTCGCCCCTGTCTCTGGCAACTCTTCTCCATATGCTTTAACTCCGATGGATTTTAGATCATCCTCTATGTTATCTTGATACCTAAGTTTTGGTCTTCCTCTTGCTCGTCTTGCGTCTTCTCCCCGGTCCTCTCTTGCCTTCCACCTTTCCTTGTATGATCAGCCGCATCAATTCGTATTTCTCTTTTCTTAGGATGTGACCAAAGTAGCTCATTTTTCTTTTCTTTATAGTGTTGAGTATTTCTTTATCTTTTTTGTGTCCAAGATATTTTCCACATTCTTCGATAACATCACATTTTAAAAGTTAATGAGTCTTTTCTCTGTCGCCTCTGTAATTGTCCAGGCCTCAACTCTATACAACCGGACCGAGAACACGTAGCATCTCAATACTCTAGTTCTAATTTCAATGTTGAGTTTTCCATTGCATAATATTGTATACAACTTATTAAAAGCACTTATAGCTCTCAATACGCCGTTTTATTTCCGTATTTCTATCCCATTCTTCATTTAGTTTGCAACCTATGTACTGATATCTGAGCACCCTGCCTAAAAGTTTTCCTTTAGCATAAACACTGTCTTCCTCAATCTTGTTCTTGCTTACCACCATGATTTTTATTTTATTTGTATTTAGTGCCATTGCATACCTTTCGCAGTATTGGGTAATGCGATCAACCAAGATCTGTAGTCCTTCTCTGCTGTCCGCAAAGAGTATTCTGTCATCTGTGTATCTAAGATTATTCAGAAGTGCTCCGTTAATAAATATGACTTTATTTGCGTCTTGTAATGCCTCTTTAAACATTTTTTCTGAATATTAAAAAGTAAAGAGAAAAAAGCCTTGTTTCCACGATTTATAGGTATTTCTTTCGATTTTTGTTGGTCTATTCGTATTATGGCTTTCTGATATCGGTACAGATACATATGAATTCTGTCAAAATTGCAAATACGAGGTCTTGCACTTTTACCGACGATATCTCATTTTATGTATCTTTTTTTTTTTCTGAAAAAGTTGCCTGTTGACGTCAAATCTCTAAATAAATAAATATTTAAGTTCTGTAATGAGCAAAATAATGACGTTTTGATTGTTTATTTAAAAATAGTTCCACTAAAACATTGATCAATTCCTAGATGAGAGTCTTTTTGTAGTATCTGATACTCCACATTTAAACTGTCAAATTCGTATACACAATTGCGACGAAAAAAGCCTTATTTTTTACTCAGTTGATTGGTCTATTAAGCATTTGAAAGTGCGTATATTAAAATAAAAACCAAATGTTTTTTTTTAATTCAAAAATTAAATCGTCTAAGCCAGCCTGTACATAAAGATGCCAACAAAAACTAACAGAACAAGGTTAACTTATATTCGTAAGTAAACAATAGTACTTACACCTTTTGATATTATAAGAAAAAGATAAGATAACAGATAATCAGAAGTTGTTGAAAAGAAGGTGTATGTACCTATGTAAAATAGTTTGTAATATTTGCATGTAAATGTCGATTTTGATTCGATAAAAAAATGAGTAAAATAAAAAAAATTGTGACAGTAGGTGATGGTGCGTGTGGAAAAACATCTCTTTTGACGACTTTTAGTTTGAATGCTTTTCCCGAACGTCATGTGCCCACGGTATTTGACGCATATTCAAAAGATATCGAAGTGGACGATCAGACAGTTACGCTAGCTTTGTGGGACACAGCGGGAGAAGAAGACTATGATAGGCTTAGGCCGTTATCCTATTCGAGGACAAGTGTAGTGCTCATTTGTTTCGCCGTAGACTTTCCAGATTCCTTATCCAACGTTAAGGAAAAGTGGTACCCTGAAGTAAAACACTTTTTACCTTACGTCCCATATATACTTGTAGGTGAGTATTTCAATTTTATTATAGCTCAGTCTGGTTATGCAAAAATCATCGATTTCACGGCAAAATTTTGCACACATATCGGATTAAGACATACGTAGGGATTACTAGATGACGAATAGATGAAAAGGTACTCGTATTTTTACCTTGCGTTTGTTTAAAACAATAATTATTTATTGTCACAATTTGATTTTTTGTCTATAAGTTTTTTCATATTTTTTATTATTATATTATTTTTTTTTTATATCACGACTATCTTTATTTTCCTGTTTTTTTTTTCAATTAAAATTTATAAATAATTTACGGAAATATTTGCAAAAATCAGTTTTTTTGCAGTAATTTACAAATTTTATTAATTTTTTTATTAACAAAGTAAAATTTTATTAATACATTTAAACATCAACGAATATCCGTCTTTTAAATTTGTGCGAAATTTTCCTCCGATCGGTCAAATAGTTTAAAAAATATTTAATTTATTTATTATTTAAACTATTGAACTTGCCCTATCAATGACACTAAACATTTAAAAAACTATCTCAGAAGTTAAATGCATATTGCGTTTTCATCGAAATTGTTTACAAAATAAACGTTTGAAAAAGGGTAGGGGAGAGTCCTACAGTACCGTCACCTTAAGGTTTATCAACAAAAAAATCAAAATGCTAAAAGGTACATGTTTAATACTTCCTGTCATGTATGAAAGGACTATTATGCTGTCAATGAAAGTAATAAACAGTCATAATGTTTCAAAATAATCACTTTATTAATGAAAATTAAAGATAAGGAAAAATCAAACTTTATAAAATTGGCCTCCAGTACCGGCCAGTAAATATGTTACCAATTAAACAATACAAAAATCACAAATATATTGTTTGGATAGCTCTGATATGTTCGCACAAGCCTCATGAACAAAAATATTACAGTTTCCACACTGTATCCAATCCTCTTCATGAGATTCAGTGCACAAAGAACAAACTGTCTCTTCTTCAACCGGTCTGCTAGGAGGAGGTAGGTTTTCATCTTTATTTTTCCTACTTTTCTTACTAACATATCTTCCTGACAAAAAGCTTTTACCTTTTTGAACATATTTTCCTGAGACCTTATTTTTTTTGTTAACGTCATTTTCCACAAGTAAATTCTTCCCTCGTTTAAGTGATTAGACGCTTGTATTGTCTGCTTTTCTCTCTTCCAGCATTTTTTTGTATGGAGAACCAGTTATAATTTCGCTTTTTTCAGCTTTACGACGCCGGGCAGTTGCTTTTCTTTTAGAAGCATCAGGAATCGGTGAGAGTTCTGTAAGTGCAGCTTTAAAATTGTCTGTGGATAGGTTAATTGTAGCTTCTTCTTGAGATTCTAATTGCCGCAAAAAATCAATTTGTGATTCTCCATTAGCAAGAGTAGTTTGGTTGTCGGAATGCACAGAATTTGTAATATGGGCTACGAGATCAGGAGCAGGAGTAGTAGATGTTGGTTCTAGCAGTTGGGAAGATGAAGGCAACGGTTCTGATGTTGAAGGTGTTGCTTCTAGCAGTTGGGAAGATGAAGGCAATGATTCTGACGTTGATTGTTGTTCTGTAATGTTGGTTATGTTAGAACAAATAAAGTCCAAATCATTAAAGACATTTTTATCAAAGGGGTGTATGCCTGTGCAACGAAAGCCACTAACTGCGATTTCCATTCGAGAAACTCGATTAAAAGCTGAAGCAACTAAGCCAGCAATCTCGTATTCACTGATTCTAATTCCGGGATTTAATCTCATCCACAAGTCACATGCATTATTATAAGCAGATTTAAATGGCTTCATGAACGTACGATCCAGTGGCTGTAGCTTTAAGGGTCGTATGTGGTGGGGATCTAAGCATATGGATGTTATTTTTCCGGGCAAATTCAATAACATCTAAGTCCTTATGACTCGCATGTCCATCTAAAATCAGGAGAACTAGATTCTCGGCTGTAGGATTAGAATACTGCACAAAATGATGCATCCATTTTAAAAATAATTCGGCATTCATCCATTCGTTTGGCTGAGCTTCGCCTACGCTTTCATTTGGGGCGTTAACCATTAGTCTTTCATTCATTCGGACTCGTGGAAATATAAAATATGGTGGAACAAATTGACCTCCAGCGCTCATTGCAAAAAGCACCGTCACGTTCTTTCCACGTTCTGCTGAAGTCAGTTTTCCTACTTGTTTTTGGTTTTTAGTAGCTAAAACTTTGGCATGTTTTTTTACAATGCTGACACCAGTCTCGTCGCAATTCCATATTTTATAAGGAGTGAATTTAAACCTCTGTATCAAAGTCTCTAACCCATTAGCATTGGTTTAGCAAGTCCTACTGCTCTCATTAAGCTCGTTGATTCAGCACTCCGCAATGATAAATCACTATGTCTTTTCATAAAAGAATAATAATAGTTTTTCCCTGCCATTTCTTTTTCTTTATTAAACTGGTGAGGTAACTTCAACTTCTCTGCCAGTTGAAAAGCAAGACGTAAAAATTCTTGCCTGTTTAAAGGCATTAGTCTATTGGCCAAGTCTTTAACATGTGTCGCCAATGTTTCTTCATGTTCAGGTGAAAAAGTATTGTGAAAACGACCCATAACTGGCTCAGTGGATATCTCTTTATTATTTTTAATAGCACTTACTCTGTCATTCAATGTAGTTCGTGGTATCTGATAACGTTCGGCAGCTTGGCTTGCACTCATCTCATTATTCAGTACCTTTTCCACGGCTTTTCGCATGTTCGCAGGATCCCAGCTGCCCTTTTTTTTGCCTCACATGAACATTATTTTTATCACTTGGCATTTTTGCGCACCTGTAAGTAAAAGAAATCTTTTAAAAACGAACTTTATTATTGGCCGGTACTGCAGGACAATGCAGTGGCCGGTACTGGAGGAAAAGAAAAAAAATAAGTTTGTTTACAGGTAAAAACAAACGCACAAATATTGATTTAAAGTATACTTTTTTATAGTTATATAAGTACACTATACATACCAGGAGTTATTTGTTTTAAACTGGATCTTTAAATGTTGAAAATCACCAACAGAATTTTAAATATGCAGTGTACGTCTATGATGCCCAACACAAATCTTTGCACTGACAAGAATCCTGTCGCGACAAGTTGACACCGCGCTGTGGGACTCTCCCCTATGTTTCCCCAACAGGAACGAAGTTAGGGAATTTAAAAAAAATCATATCTTCATTGTTTATAAACATTAAGAAGTAAAATGTGTACAAATGTTGAATGAAAATCTAAACTTTATATTGAAACTTATAGCTATAAAATTCATCAAATTTTTCAAAACTTACGGCCTTTCGAAACGAAGGTACTTTCGAAAGATCGACATAGGAAAGTGGAGGGAAAACTGTTTCAGCTCCACGCGCCAAAATTTCGTCAGTCTCAGTGTAGTGGCTTTAGAAAGAAATATACTTGTACTTCTTTGAGTAAAATATTTTGTGTATTTTGAACAAAAAAGTTTTAACTAAACGTTTTTAATTACTTTTTGATTAAAAATTGTAAGTAATATTTAAAACTATTGAATGAATACTTAATTATTTTCAACTTGTATAATCGGTGAAAAATATTATTTATTATAGATTATTTCATAATAAACAACAGACTGTGGCATTAACTTGTTCAAGAAGTAGTAGCTTCAAAGTAAGTTTTTTAGTAGTAAGTCGCAGAGGAAGATGCTGACTTGCTCATCCTACAAACAGCTCTACAGCAGTACAGAAATGAACCAGAAATGAGTACAGTAATAATAGGTAATGATACTGACTTACTCGTATTATGACTCAACTTTCTTCTGCAGACATGAAGTTTTGATTTTTGAGTTGTGTTCCACAACATCTTCGTTTCACAGATCTTCGTTTCGTTCCATTCCTCTCTGTGCCACTCTCAATTTCGAAGCCAGTAGTTTTGGTTAGAGTCATAGTTTCCGCCCCATAGGTCATGACCGGTAATCCGCATTGGTCAAATACTTTTCTGTTGAGGCTAATTGGTATGTTGGCCCTAAGTGTGTCTCGCAGTTTTCCAAAGGCTGCCCACGCTAACGTAACTCATCTTTAGGTTTCGCATGTTTGGTTATCCATGTTGATTCTTATTTCGTGACCCAAATACGTATATTTCTCCACCAATTCTACCACTTTCTTTTGAATAGTTAAATGGTTATTGGGGACCATATTTGTTATAAACTTAGTTTTGGACAAGTTCATTCTGAGGCCCACCTTCGAACATGCAAAGTTCAATTCATTTAACATATCCGTGGCTTTTCCTAAATCATCTGTGATAAGGAAAATGCCATCTGCGCAACGAAGATGGTTAAGTTTTTCGCCGTCTATTTTTACTCCTCTGTGGTCCCAATTGACCATCTTAAAGGCATACTCTAATGCCGTTATGAATAATTTCGGTGACAATGTATCTCCTTGCTTCATCCCACGTTTTATTTTTATTGGTCGGGTTTTATCGTGGATCTTAATAGTGGCATTTTTGTAAATATTATAAATAAGCTCACTATACCTACGGTCAATCCTGCTGTCATTCATTGCTTCTATAAGGCTGTCTAATTCGATCGTGTCGAACGCTTTATGAAAATCTATGAAAGTGGCGATAAGAGGTTTGTTGTATTCTATAGATTTTTCAATGAGCGTCTATATTGTATGGAGGTGATCAGTGGTACCATAATTTGATCGGAATCCTGCTCTCTCAGTTGGTAGAAATCTAATTTTCTCTCCAATCTTGATGTCACTAACCTAGTGAAGAGCTTGTATATATGGTTCAACAGGCTAATGGGTCTATAATTCTCTAGGTCCATTCTATCTCCTTTTTTATGTAAAAGGCTGATTATAGCATTGTTCCATTCTTTGGGCACCTCTCTTTGCTGCAAACATAGATTAAACAGTTTCCTTAATTGATTTAATAGCATATCTCCTCCATTTATTATAGCTTCTATTACAATTCCATCCTCTGCTGGGGCTTTGTTATTTTTCTTTTTTCTTAACGCTTGTCGAATCTCATCTACATTTATTTCTGGCATTATTTCGGAACCTTGATTCATGATTTTCTTTGAAATTGCTGTTTGTATTCCTGTTTGATATTCTTGTCTACTTCCATATAATTCCTCATAAAACTCTTCGACAACCTGTATTAACTTGTCTCTTCTTCTTTCTTCTTCATGTGCCTTGTCCGTTCCGAAGGTTGGCAATCAACATGGCTATTCTGACTTTGTTTACGACAGATCTGAATAGTTCAGCAGATGACAATCCGAACCATTGCCGCAAGTTTTGGAGCCACGAGTGTCTTCTCCTTCCTGGACCCCTTCTGCTGTCTATTTTCCCTTGAACGATTAACTGTAGTACTCTATATTTATTATGTCTCATAACGTGACCCAAGTATTCCAACTTTCTTTTCTTTATACTTATTCCTACCTCTCTCTCTCTCTCTCTCTCTCTCTCTCCTCTCTCTCTCTCTCTCTCTCTCTCTCTCTTTACCTATCCGGCGTAGTACCTCTTCGTTGGTCACGTGCTCAGTCCAGGATATACTTTTTCATCAATGTTGCGGTCATTGTCCACGCCTCCATTCCATATAACAAAACCGGGAATACATAACATTTTAGAAGTCGAATTTTGAGAGGTAGGGTGAGGCTTTTAGAGGTGAAAATTGGTTTCATGCTAGTGAACGATGCTCTTGCCTTTTCTACTCTTATACGTATTTCCTTCGCTTGATCCCAATTTGAGTTAACTGTTGTTCCCAAGTAGATGTACGAATCCACGTGTTTAATTCTTTCATTGTCTAATATCAGTTGCTGTGGTGGTTGTTGGGTTTTGCTTACTAACTTCCATTTGGTATTTGTGATATTTAGTCTGAGTCCGTATTGTGCACTTGTTTTTTGTATCTTACTCATTAGGCAACTCAGTTCCTCCATGCTACTTGCTAGAATCACAGTGTCATCAGCATAGTTTATGTTATTAAATATTTCTCCATTTATGTTATGCCTTCTGTGCTTTCCTCCAGCTTTGTCTTAAATACTTCTTCTGAGTATATATTAAAGAGAATAGGAGACAAGATACAGCCCTGTCGTACCCCTTTCTTGATCTCAATTTGATTGGTCAATGTAGATCCTACTTTCACTTTAGCTGTTTGACCCCAATAGAGACTCGCTATTATTCGGATGTCTCTGTAGTCGACTCCAATCTTATGGAGAACTTTATTTATTTATTTATACAATTATCTTTTCGTGCTTTACGTTATCGAATGCTTTTGCGTAGTCTATAAAGCATATGTACACGTCTTTGTTCATATCTCTGCAGCGCTGGATGAGTACCTGTAGACTAAAAAAAGTGCTTCTCTTGTCCCAAGAGAATTCCGAAACTCAAACTGCGAATCTTCAATGTTATCCTCGCATTTTTTGCTTATTCTATTGTAAATATCCTTGGTGTATGCCTTCGAAATGTGGTTAATTAGACTTATCATCCGATGTTGATCACAAGACTTTGCTTTTGGTTTTTTCGGTATGGCAACAAAAGTTGACTCTAGCCAGTCTTCAGGAAACTTCTCGCTTATCTCTACGTGATATTATTTCATTTTGCTTGTTTCTTAATTTATGAATTTCGCATTTCCCATTATATTATATGTCTTCTTTGATCTAATAGCGTTTCAGTACATGGACTTAGTTTACTATATGATTTTCTTTTACGACAGTGCACTCGGTGACTTTCTTCTAAGGCGTTATGATGCTATTATTCAAGTCGTTAAGATCGTTCTCGGAGGTTTCATGCAGTAGTAGCTTATTATTGATATGTGCCTGATATTGGTTGATATCTATGGGGGTGACCAGATATCATGAGATTTATTTTTAATCATTATGTTTCTTTCTCTTCATTATGTATCATTATGTGGTCACTGCTTGTGGTGAACTTGTTGAGTACTGTTACACCTTTAATTATTTGTTTTTTATCACTTATGATGTAGTCTTTGGACTTTCCCAGGTCCAACTTCTGTGCATTTTTTTTGTAAAAGAAGCTGTTCATGTTAAATAAATGATTCTGGAGTACGAATTATAGTAGGGTTTCTCCTCTTCCAACTGATGTAGTTTCAGGGCCAGTCTGATAGAATATATGCCCTGATTTCAGTACATTTAAAGTTTCACCTCTCTTTCTAACTTCGCTGATACCTATCACATCCCATTTAATTTTATTCATTTCAGTTTTGATTTCTGTGAATATTTCCTCGGACAGTAGACTTCTGGCATTGTAAGTACTAATGTAAAAAGTTATGGGGTTTTTAGGTTTCCGTATAGTCAGCTTTATAATCGGGTACAGTACCACAATAAGCTTAAATTATTACTAAGCCACTATTACACATTAATAACAAAACGTATGTGTACAAGTGTTGTAAGCAGGTTATCGCTAATATGTCCCTACTATATACTATAATCTATCATTCGTTTCTTGAAACATATTTATAATATTTAGATATACCTACAATACAATTTTCTAATTGTTTTAGCAAATAAATTGGACCTAAGAACTGATCCCGAAGCAATCAAAACTTTAGGCGACAAAAACCTGCACCCAGTTAGTCAAGAAGAAGGAGAAAGAATGGCTAAAAAGATTAAGGCTACTAAATATATGGAATGCTCGGCCAAACATCTTTTTGGAATTAAACCAATTTTTGAAGAAGCGGCTCGTATAGCACTCGAAACCAAAACTAAGAGTAAAATGAAACATTGTAAATTTATATAGGTAGTTATTATAGAAACAAAGGTCTCACATTTTTGACGCAATGTCATGACATAAGATTATTATTTTAAGTACAGTAAGGTATCGTTTTATGCGGAGACTTAAGGGAAAGTGTTGTACCTTTGGGCAAATTTCATGTCGTTTTGGCTCAAAATGTTTAAAATTGCTTTATAGCAACCATTGAGGCATGATTGCTATAAAGCAATCAAGCCACTTTAAAGTAGATTTAAAATCGTATAAAAATAATCCGCATAAAAAGAGACCTTACTGTACATGATACAATTTAACCTACTCAATAAAATTATTGTTAGTGAACAAAATCATTCGTTTTTGTCTACATCAAAAACCCTTTACTCTTGAAGATAATTTAGGCAAAGTGTTGTCTGTTTTCTGCTACAATTAATAAGTAATAGGTGACTAAATATCTTTCCAGACTTCTATATTCTTTAACACCGAGTATTTTGTTCTTCCTGGGCCGTTTTTTCCTTCAAGCTTTCCTTCCGTTTTAAGTCGTACAAAATTTTGTTTTCCCCTCTATAAATAGAACTAAGTAACTTTTTTTACACTATGTTATAGTTCAGGAGTTGTCTGCTATCTTTTTTATCTAAATAAGTTACTATGCAAAAATATTTAACCAAATCATTTATTTTGTAACCTCAAATATCTATATCCTTTATAATTTCCAGTTTAAATGACCTTCTATGGTTTTTCTGTACGTGTTCTGACAAAAGTCCCCAAAAATGGCCTTTAAACGAACATTTAATTTTGTTGCAAACTATTCCTCAGTAGTAGTTTTTACTTCCCTTTCATTACTCTAATTTAGATCTCACCTTTCCTTAAAATACTAATTTAAATTGGTTTTGAGGTTTAAAATTGAAATAAAAAGTAAAATCAATTAATACCTAATTGCACTATTATAAATATTTACCTATGAAACGATATTCCTGGTGTTTTCTGCTCGCTGCGATTTTTACAAAGAATATACGCACAATTCACCATTTTGTTAAGTAAGTAAAAAAAATCGGTGTTCAATTCACTTTTTTTAAAAAATCACCAAAACAAAACTGGTGTCACTTTAGGAATAACACAGGGAGCGAAAATGTTTTGTATGTTGCATACATTCAGGCGAACGTTTCAATAATTTTCTGGTAAAAATGTTCATGTTTCTTGTGTTGTTCGTAATATACATACTTAAGTCGAAGTGAAAAAACCAGCGTTGTTCTGCATTGAAAGTATATACCCAGACTCTCTCTTTAATGTCTATCATCATAATGGCTTTACAACCCTGTGAGTTGTAGTCTCAAAAATGTTTCTCCAGTCGTGTCTATCAATCGCCTTTTTCTGCCATGCACGTATTCCCATATTTCTCATGTCTTCATCGATGTTATCAAGGAACCTCGTTCTGGGTCTTCCTCTTCTCTGACCAATGGGTCTATCAAGGAGTGTTTTTCTAACGGGATTATTATGATTGATGAATTCGACCGTTACTTGATGGAAATTCATTTTATGTAACAATAAACACTGAAAACTTTGTTTTCAAACTTCCACAAAATTTATTTTAAATCTTATCACTACAACTGTTTCGGCTGATTGCCTTTCTCAAGTGATCTATTTTTGGCTTGGGTTTACAAATTTATAGTCTCTAATGAAATAGGTCGAAGAGGGGAGAACAAAGGAGGGGACAAACAGAAAGTCTCGTCTTTCGGTGAAATTTTTTTTTTCAAAATTCGGTGTTACATTGCTGTCGCCACTCTTCCGAAAATTTTATACAACATGTGTAGAGACACTTATCACCACAAGGATCGCGCGTGGGATGATCTTCTTTATTCTGTTTCGTACTTTTTCTTTTAAAGTTTTCTTCCGTATTCTTTTAGTTCCACTATTGTTTACAGTTTCTATTTCTCTTTGTACTGGATCATTTCCACCTTGAAAATTTTGGTTTAAATTTGATGAATTAAAAACTTCTAATGTTGTGTCAATAAACTGTTGTTGTGCTTCGAATTGTTTATTTCTTTTGGTATAACCGTGTTATTTAAAGTTTCTAGTTCACTGCGGACTAATACCTCAAGTGTTGTGTAAATTAACTTCTTGTCTTTTTCTTCATTACATTTTGAAGAATTCTGATCTGGATTATTTAAAAGTTTCGCAGGTTGCAAAAAATATTTAGGAGTCCATATCTTCTTCAATCACTGGGTAAGCAGGTATTATTTCGTTTTCAAATTGAGTCTCTATAGTTAAGGAAGTTGCACTATCATCTGCTATTGGTTGCGGATCTTTTTTGGTGTCTTTGCTTCAACGTTTTAAAGTGTCAAAATTCTTATTAAACCACCCACCTAAAATACATAAAAAATTGTTAGATCTTATGCAAAAGATGAACTGACTAGCTCAAAATAAATAATTGGATCTATGTTTTGTTACTATGTTCTATTTGTGTTACTAATACAAAAACTAGACACTGTAAGAATGTACAAAAGATAAACATAAAATGGATAAGAAATATGGAAAGAACGCCCTAACTCCAAAAACTATTTCGGGTATTTCACAGTAGGGATGTGTAGTTCACCATCGAAATAGTCCTAATGAACGATTCTTTCAACTGAACTAATTGAACTAGTTCATTAATTTCATAGAACTAGTTCACTGCGAACTATTTGCATTATAAATTATGTCTCGACTTCTAAAGAAGAAAATAATGAATGAATGAATTAGAACATATACTTATTATTTTGTGAATGGGTGGACTAACTAGTTTAAAAAACATGCCGATTGGCGTCAGATAACAGATTCATAATTCTTATGAATGTGATAATATCATAAGGTCTTATCTTAATGCCATAATGGTTTTGGATCTTATGCCCATGTATTGGCTTGGATGTTGCCATGCTGTGTTGTTTCTTGTATTGTAATTTTGAAATAAAAATTTTAGTTGTGGTTAAAATGATTGAGGCATTTACATAAAATATAATTTTATGTAAAAGTGAGAATGAAAATGTGTTATTTAATGTTCCTAGAAAATTCATGATTTTTTTTGTAAAGGTTCTTTTAGAAATAACCTAATTATAAATACCTATTAGTTTAAATATACGTAAATATAAAAATAAATCATACTTGAACCATATTTATATTAAAACGGTTAATAAAAAACAAATGTTATTAATTTTTTGCAAATAAAAACTAACTAATCATATAATAATTTAAACCATTTAAACCCAAACATACGATCGATAAGAAATAGTTCCGAACTACTTGTACGGTAGTGAACTAGTGAAAGACTGACTGAAAGAAAGAAATAGTTCCGAACTACTTGTACGTAGTGAAAGACTGACTGAAAACGAAGTGTGCCAGCGCCGAGCTTGTGTGATGATTGAGAAGAGACATCTGGCAACCAGTTCTGTTACGGTTGGATTTCGATGTCGGTCCTACAAATAGTTCTTTCGCGAACTAGTTTATTTTTGTGAAATAGTTCTGTTGAACTAGTTTGTCTAAAATAACTAATAAGCACACCTTTATTTCACAGAAGACGGAAATGTTTGTGGATTTGGGGTACTTTTAGTTCTTTTTCGCTATATAGGGCTTCCTTTGAACAAAAATGACACCAAAATTGATTTAGAGCCAATAAACTCGTCATTTTGATGGATTTAAGGCTTTCTAACGACATTTATAGGTGTATTTTTATATGCCGATTCATAAATATGTAAATAAAAGACATTCACAAAAATGTTGGAGTTGGGGCCTTTTAGCTTATGAGGACAGTGTAGGGCTGAGTTTTACCTTTGTATTTCGTGATATAATTGAGGATTTAAGGAGATGATCCTAAGGAGATGAGAAACCCACATGAGTCTACTCATCCAACCTTATAAATGATTTATTAAAATATAAAATAGCAGCTCCTTGGAATATGCTACATTTATTATCACTTGGCTGTAGATATTTACAACTCTTTAATAAAATTTTTAAAAGACAGCAAATTATCATTATAATTCTCTAAAAATTGTTTAGTTAATCTTGTTACCTTTGTTTTAAACCATTTTTATAACTTCCTCTTCTACGAGACCTAGTGTTGTTGTGTCTTATATAAATCAATGCCTTGATAGGTCCCTAGGCGAGGAGAGTGTGTCCCTGTTCTTCTAATATCGATGTAATATTTTATTTTGATAGGGCATTTAGCTAAATAATTATAATGATGACTATCTTAGTCCTTTTGTGTCTGGCTGTATGACGATAGTCTAAGCAAAAAAAAAAAAAGAAAAAAAAGAAGAAAAAAAAGAAAAGTGTGTAGCAGATTGAACAGTTTACAGGAGGGAGGGTCTCCCTGGCGCAGACCTTTATTTGTTTTAAAATTTTCAGACAGCTCCCCTGGATTCGTACTCTACATTTAATTTTTTAAAGGGTTAGTTTTGTTAAATTTACCAACTGATTTGGTACCTCCAGCTCTTTCATTGCTTTGAACATTTTTCTTCTATTCACAGAGTCGTACGCTGCCTTGTATTCTATAAATGTGTGATGATAATGTCCTCCCTCTCTCCCTTTTTGATGCCAAAATGTTACATGGAGGCCATAGCATGTGCAGAAAGTCTCAATGCTCAGACTAGCTGAAAATACTGTTGGAAATTTCGACAAGATGTCAAAAAATAATAAAACTAGTGTCAACGTCATTACAGCAATTTGTCAATCATATTTTTACGTTTCACACATCTGTTTAGGTTTAAGAAATAAAAAGACTGATTTAGTACATTTATTTACCACGAGATCTATTGAGGGTAAGTACGTACATTCAAGTTTTAAAATGATATGAAAGAAATATAATCTACAAGTTTAATACTATCTCATTTCTATTTTAACTCTGCTTAAAATACAATCACAGATTTTCAAAACATGTCATAAATAATATAAACAAACAAACATTAATATTGTACATTTAGGAATACTACCAAAATATTTTCTAAATCAAATTCAGCTACAGTTAGTTCGAGATGGTTAAGAAAAACAACTAAAAAGTAAGTTTGCATGTAATAAAGCTTTTGTTACACTAATAATAGAGAACAAAACTTTTTCTACGCATAAAATTGCATTTTCTACCATTTCAGAGATATTCCCATTAGAAATTTTGCTAAATGTGTCGAAATTTTCCGACGACAATATGCCTAACATTACTCTAATTTAATCTTAAGATTTATCACAAAATAGTCGCCACATTTCTTCCAAAAATTAGAAAATTGGACAAGTAAATAAATTTCTGTACATATAAAAATAAATTTCGCCTCTTACTTACAAACATCCTTACACTATTAAGGTGAATTTTTAGAAAAAGTTTTGTGTTTTTACAGAAGTAGATGAATACCAGTCAGAAGAACTAAACAAGTTAATGGTACATTACAGAAAGGTATGATTTAACAAAAAAGGCAATGGCAGTAAATTAAAAATAAATAAATAGTTTTGCGAAGCAAATATCTTAATATCTATGTACAAAAAGCTAAATCTACCAAATTATTAACTTCCACAAAGGCAAAACAAAAATACATTGGTCTTTTTCTGATGTACTTAATTTAAAGTGATATGATAGCCGTTATTTTTCATTATTAGGTGGCCAAAAACACTAAAACCGTCCCTGAAACCTAATTATATTCATTTGTTAACCGTCACTTGGTTTTACTATTTTTTTTTTCTAAAAATGGCGCCCAACGTGGGGCTGTAATATGTAATAATAAAATAATCATCTAGTACGTTGGGTGACAATTATTTAGCAATAAATGGTACCTATGAACAGACACTTCAGCTGTCGAAGCACTAACCATAAAATTGACACATGAAGTGTCTGTTCATAGTTATACGACTGAGGTGTCGTTTTATTGTTAAAAAATTGGCAACCAATGATCTAGGTGGTTGCTTTATTGTTAAAAGCTGTCTCAAATAATCTATGGTCATTTAAAATTATTATTAAACTTACATTAATTTATTAAATTCTATATAATCTTTGTAATATTCATCAGGTACTAGAAGACCACATAAGAATGTAACTTCTGACTGTATATTCAAGTTTTCATGTTAATAAATTTCTGAAATGGTTTAAATATTCAGACACTTTCCATCAATGGCCGTGACACATATTTGTGCAAAATTTTGAGCATACTTTTATTATTGGAGTTAAAGAGTGACAACAATACAAAGGGACTATTAAGTATGACAATGGAAATATGAGAATCAGAATCGCACAAAAAAATAATAGAAAAATATGCTTGAAGTATTTTGGAGTAGATTTCAGGAGAAAATGCAGCAAAATACTAAAAAAAAGAAGAATCAACAACAAAATGATAAAGGACTGACAGAAAGAAGAGGTTTAAGTATTGAGATTTGTTGGAAAAATGAAGCAATGATAAAATACAAGGATGGGCTACCTGTAAAAAATATTTAACTTGATTGAATCTTTATATGTTAAATTCGTATTTAATAATCCAGTCGAAAGTTCTATCAGGTTGGTTTGTTGTGAGTCGGACCTTAGATTTTTGTCAAAAGTCTTCAATAGGTTGCTTATAATTAAAATTTGAGTATGCTTCAGCTGAAACAGTTATGAGAATTCAGGAAAATGATGATGAAAATCGACTGCTGACCCTTATTTCTCAAGCATGTCGAATATCGATGAAATTATCATCTGCGGCAAAAATAGATAAAGGTAAAATTGTTCGCAATTAGATTTTAGTATGAAAAATGTGTAAAGAAAAAATGAAATGCGCCTTTTTTCAGTTTTTCCAAATTTTGTAACCCTGCCCTTTCCTTTGTAGCGTGGAAAATTATTTGGAGAAACCACTGCTGTATAGAGTAGAGAAGAGCAACTTCCAAACCCATTTTCAGAATCCAAAATCGATTAATTTTATAAAACTGGGGAAAGTTTTACAAGAGCTATGAAGGTTGAATTTTTTTGTATCAAATTTATTATTCAATTTGAAAAAAAAAAAAATCATTTATGAATATCTTACTTTGTATTTTTATTTATATTTATAGGTACATTGATAACTATATAATAGTACTGAATTTTGAATATTTTAATGGCAAAAATAAATTTAAATAAAGCAAAACTGGGATCTTTAAGAGTCCTTTTAAAAAACCCCTTGATTTATCTTTCTGGCCGATTTTAGTTTTTCACAGTAGATTAAAAAACTTGTTTCTTCTCTATACGTAAATAAATCAGTGACTTTTACAGTAAATATTTTTCCACACCAAAAGTTTGCAGTAAAATTTTGAATATTTTCGACTCTCAAGTCCAACCGAAGGTTTTCTTACAGAATATTTGAGATACCTTAAATTCTACATACCAAATTTTCATAAATTTTAAGGAAATTTTTCTTAAAAAATTTCCAAAACTTCAAAAATTTGGATATTTTCGAATTTTTCCAAATAGGTTGGGACAAAGATATTCCCCATTTTTCTTTACAGAAATATTTGAGGTATCTCCAAATTGTACATACTAAATTTTCACAAACTAACGAATTTTCCTGAAAAAACTTCCAAAATTTCAAAAATTTTTAATTTCGATTTTTTCCGGCCAAGTTTTGGCAACGGTATCCAATTTTTCTTTACAGCAATATTTGAAAGATATCTTGTAAATTGTACATGCCAAATTTTCACACATATTCCAATTTTTCCTAAAAATTTTTCGAAAACTTTTAAATATTTTATAATTTTCCGACCAAGGTAGGACAAAGTTATCCTGTTTTTATGTACAGAAATATTTTGGAGATATTTTCAAATTGTACATACCAGATTTTCATAAATTTTAAGGAATGTTTCGATTTTTCCTAAAGAAATTTCCAAAACTTCAAAAATATTGAATATTTTCGAATTTTTCCGGCCAAGTTTTGGCAATGGTATCCCGTTTTCTTTACAGAAATATTTGGGATATCTTCAAATTGTACGTAACAAATTTTCACAAGTTTTAATGAATTTTCCTGAAGAAATTTCAAACTTCAAAATATTGAATATTTTCGATTTTCTCCGGCCAAGTTTTGGCAATGGTATCCAATTTTCCTTTACAGCAATATCTGAAAGATATCTTCAAATTGTACATGCCAAATTTTCTCATATATTCCAATTTTCCTAAAAATTTTTCGAAAATTTTGAAATATTTTATAATTTTCCGACCAAGGTGGGACAAAGTTATCCTGTTTTTCTTTACAGAAATATTTTGGAGATATTTTCCTTCCAATTGTACATACCAAATTTTCACAAATTTTAACGAATTTTCCTAAAGGAATTTTCAAAAGTTAAAAATTTTTGAATATTTTCAAATTTTCCAAACAAGTGGGGCAAAGGTATCTCGTTTTTCTTTACAGCAACATTTTGGATATATTTCAACTTGTGCATACCAGATTTTCAGATATTTTCTTAAAAAAAATTCGAAAACTTTTGAATATTTTATAATTTTTCGACCAAGGTCGTACAAAGTTATTTTGGAGATATCTTCAAATTGTACATGCCCAATTTTAACGAATTTTTCAATTTTCATACAAAAATTCCTTTACCAATATTTTTCAAGATATTTTATTTTTCACTTCATGCAAAAATGTTGTATACTATTTACAGAAGCATCTTGATAGAATTTAATCACGAAAAACTGTGTTTTTATCAATTTCTGTCATAGATTTGATACTTTCAAAGATATTCAATATAGCATGTAGCAAGACCCAAACTTTTATGACTAGATAAGAATAAAAAATCTAAGACAACTAGGCATATTTAGAAAAGTTACTTCGATTTGAAGGAGATGTATCAAAATGAGAGAAACTCCAATACCAAGGCTACTTGTCCATCTTGTCTTTTCAACTAGTGCAGTTGTGCGAACATCCTAGTACAGATATGCACTAAGTGGAGAAAATCATATACGAGGCTGCTGAGGTGTTTGGGATCAATGAAAGTGAAGATTATTAACTTGTTTAGATACATAAAAATGGAGCTTTTTTATGAGGCTTTAAGAGAGAAAGTCAGTCCATCAAAAGTGTAAGAGTAAGAACTACAAAAATATGATAAAAAACAAAATAGAGACTATAAAATTGTAATAAAACTGTGGCTATTCAAGGCAATGCTGCAAATAAAAGTAAATTCAGTATTAGATAAGTTAAAGGAGGTTAGTATATTATAATTTATGTCATTGTTATGCCCGTTGATAAAATAGATATCTTGATTTGATTAGCGTTGGTAGTTCCGACCGAAAATAGTTTATTCAAAACTAATATTTCAAAATTCAAAAATTCAAATAGTTAATGCCTAGACTTTTATCAAAAGACTTTCTAGGTACTAAGATCAACTCAAGATTCAAGTAGTGGTGATGTTAATGGAAAAATCTGCGTGATTTCCCCTATACCTTTCGAAGATCCTTCTTTGAAGAGAAGGCGTTGGCCAACAGCAACGTACTCTGCATGTAGTTTAAATCTGAACAACACCGAGTCACGTTCGTTGGTGTGAATGCACCTGGAAGAACATATACCCATAATGACGGCCGTCTGCCGAATGTTTCCTATGTAAACCGTTGTCTGAAATCCTGGATAGATGGCGGTAGCGTGAAACAGCACGGAAACGCTAGCTTGGAAGAACAGGCATGCTTTGGCGTCTTCGTCTTCACTTAGCAGAACCATACCATTCCTCAATCCGTGAATGTACGTGTTCAGCCCCAATGACGCGCTTTGTCCAGCTCGTACCATCCTGCATGGTACTCTATTGCGGTGAATAGTTTTGACTGCGACTTTCTGAAAGGAACCGTCTTTCATTGGACCTATCTGCATCTTTGTACCTTCTGTTATAACTCCTTTCGTCAACAGTCCACCTATGATTTGACCCACATCTCCAGTCTTGAAGTTCTCGTCAATTTGAAACTCGGGAGATTCCTGAAAAGGATAATCAGGCATTCAATATTTTCATAGGGATTATAATAGATTTGAAACAAAACAAATTATGACAAACTCATGCAAAACATTACTACAAACATCAAAAAGGAACACTACTCCCAAACTTAAGACAACTAATGTCCATCTTTAATTTTAGTAGCGACTTAATTTACTGTTCTTTTCTTTGTGGAACCTAAGGATTTTTACCTAAGAAGCTGAGTTTAGATCACTATACATTAAAAAACCCACTTTGACCCATGTACACTTTTTTTTTGTATTTTTAGTCAGTTTAAAGTATTTTTGCATGCATCTTTAAAAAATACATACTGATATTTGATGTTATAAAAACGTTTACTACTATTTCAGTCTACTTTTTGTTCAAAGTATACATGGAGTTTATTATTTAACACTGAAACATAAATTTTTGAACAGTAAACTTACTGAAATCCACTTTTGCTTGAAACAAAACAAAATTAATATAAGAAAGGACGAAATCAATGAAGTCTTTTAGATTCCAGCTTTATTACAAGATATTTTAGGAAAAATTTAAGCAACTGACTACTAAATGATTTGTCTAGTCAAAAAAAACTTACAATGAAGTACAAACTTTGTATAAAATGGTATAAACAATGAAAAAAACATACTTCGTTTAGATCTATATGAAGATCTAAACAGAGTATGTCACCTCTCTTTCAATCGTGACTACACTCTCATACACCGATAAATATTTTCGAAATCTTTATTCCATTCTTCCTCTTACACTTCACTGTTTTCTGATCACTACTTGGCCAGCCATTTGCATCTATCCTTTTTGTTCTTCACAATATAAACATTATTCAATATCACTTATTACAAACATTAAGCCTACTAGTTTTCTCAGTCTATCGGAGGTTTCCTACCATTTCTAATATTTTCAATCTCATTTTAGTCAATCAAAAGTCCACATTTTAGGCAACATGAGTTTTTAATATCTTCATAATAGTCTATCGATTAGTTAAACAGTCATGTCACATTTTTATCTAAAACCTAAAATATTGTAAGATGTGAATACCAGCTAACTCCGATTGCTCTGATTTTCCCGTTTGAACACAGCTAAGTCCTTGAAATGCACTTGACAGCCATGCATTTGCATAGTAAAACTTGACGTGACAAGTACAGGCTTTGCAACGATGTTAGTTTTTCCTACTGTTTATAATTATTTGAGTGATTATTGAAGGTAAGTGTAGATGTGTATTCAATTATTCATTTTTCTTAAGTTTAGTTGTAAAATGTGTTAATAGTTTCGATAAATCTTGTTTGTTTGTTGTACTTAACAACAAAAACATTGTTGTTAAGTATAGGCATGACATGAAGTTTTTTTTATTTTAGATGTCACGTTCTAGACAGATGATAGAAATGATACAAACAACACACATAGAAATACAATAAATGAATACAATAGATTTATAAATTTAAACGAAAATGTACACCTCAATGAAGATACAGATTTTACAGCGGAAGCAAACGAATCCAGTAATAATCTTGAAGTTACTGAAAATGTTGAAATAATTTTTGTGGATCTACAGTCTACTTCCAACTCATTTAATTATAATATTAATGCAATAGAGATTCTCTGCCAAAATCTACTAGCAGAGATCACTGATGAATTAAACTACTTGAACCAGATACCAGATCTTTGATGCAAGCAATGAAAGTGCTATTCTTCTTCTTCAGATGCAAATCCACTAATGGATGTTAGCGATCACATTTTCCATTAATTCTCTATTTCTTGCAATATGTATCAGAGATTGTATGTCGTTAATCCCTGTCCATTGCCTTATGTTTCGGAGCCAGGACATTTTCTTGCGTCCCATTCCTCTCTTGCCTTCAATTTTACCCTCGATTATAAGTTGGAGGAACTGGTATTTTTCATTTCGCATGATGTGACCTAGATACGCCGTTTTCCTTTTCTTGATGGTTTCGAAAAGTTGGCGTTCTTGGTTTATTCTTTTAAGGACATCTATATTTGTGATTTTCGCTGTCCATGGTATTTTTAGGATACGGCGATAAAGCCACATTTCGAAAGCTTCTAATCTGTTTATATCCCTCGTTTTGAGTGTCCAGCCCTCTACGCCATATAGCAGCACTGACCATACGTAGCACTTAGTAAACCTTAGTCTCAGTTGAAGATCAAACTCTGAACAAGTCAGTACTTTCTTGAATTTTACGAAAGCTTGTCGAGCTTGCTCAATGCGACATTTTACTTCCCTGTCCGATGCCCAGTCTTCAAAAAGCCACGATCCCAGGTATTTAAATTTACTCACTCTTTCAATGGACTTAGTATTCAGTGATATGGTGGAGTTTTCAAGTGCATCTAAGTTTCTGGAGATGATCATAAATTTGGTCTTTTTGGTATTAATCTCTAATCCCATTCGCTTACTGTATTCTCCGATTATAGTGACAAGTTGTTGAAGATCGACTATGTTGTCACAAATTAAGACACCATCATCAGCATATCGTATGTTGTTGATCAATACTCCATTCACCTTGATTCCATCTCTGCATCCTCCAAAGACTCTTGAAATATGGCTTCCGAATAAATGTTAAATAAAAGAGGGGAAAGCACACATCCCTGTCGAACGCCTCTTCTTATATGTATGGGTTTGGATATAGAATTGTCTATTTTTAACTGTGCCGTTTGATGCCAGTACAAGTTTTCAATGCATCTTATGTCTTTTTGGTCTATATCAACTTTCTTGAGAATCTGCATTAACTTGTGGTGTTGGACACGATCAAACGCTTTTTGGTAATCTAAAAAGCATAGGAACACATCCTTCCTCTGATCGTAACAATTTTGGACCAGCACCTGTGTTGCTACTATTGCTTCTCGTGTTCCTAAACCTTGCCTAAACCCGAACTGGGAATCACTGATGTCCCATTCACATTTTTTGTATAATCTTTGATGTAGTATTTTTAAGAATATCTTTAAAGTGTGACTCATCAGGCTAATGAGTCTGTGATCCTCACATCTTTTTGCATTGACTTTCTTGGTGCTATTAGCGATACCAATGACCAAAGCCTTTGACAATTTAAGATACTCAAACCAGAACTAGATGGTTGGAAAACCGAACAGAAACGAAAATGAGGAGATACCAATGTCGAAAGTCAACAACCTCAAGAAACATGATAAGAAGCAAGATCAGTTCCAAATTTCCACAAGAGAATCAACGATATGAGGAATATCTGATGCTAGCGAAGGCAATATTAATTTAGTTCCATATTCAGACACAGATTCAATTTCATCTTTCTTCTTTCTAGTTCTTTTCCTAGTTGTTCTAGAACTTGTTCGTTTGTTTTGCGATCCATCCATGATATTTTCAACATATAACACATTTCGAATGCTTCTAGGTTTTTAATGTTGGATTTTTTAAGTGTCCAAGCTTCAACTCCATACAAAAGGGTAGAGAAAATATAACATCGAACCATTCTTATCCGGAGCGATATATTGATATCGCGATTACAAAAAAGTTTTCTCATTCTATTAAAAGTTGACCGCGCAATTTCAATGCGGCATCTTATTTCTTTTGTCTGATCAGTATCTTCTGTGATCCATGCTCCAAGATATTTGTACGAAGATATTTGTTCAATTTCTGTATTATCTAGTATTAGCTTAACTTTGATGTTTTGTGCTTTTGTAAATACCATGAACTTGGTTTTCTTCAAATTGATTTTTAGTCCATAATCGTTGCAATATATATTTAGTTGTTCAGCAAGGTGTTGCAGTTCTTCTAGTGTTCCTGCCAGAAGGACGGTGTCGTCAGCATATCTTATGTTATTAAGTGGCTCACCATTTATTATAAGGCATTCACTGATCTCGGCAAGCGCTAATTCTGAGATGGCCTCACTGTATAAATTGAATAACAAGGGTGATAAAATACACCCTTGGCGGACCCCACGGCGAATCTGGATATCCTTGGTCAGTTCGTTTTCAACTTTCACTTTTGCTGTTTGATTCCAATAGAGGTTACAGGTGATTCTAATGTCTCTACTGTCTATGTTTTTATTTAATAAAATTTCTTTAAGTCGATTATGCTGCACTCTGTCAAACGCCTTATCAAAATCAATGAAACAGGCATATACTTCCTGATTAATATCTAAGCATCTCTGCGAAAGAACACTTAATGCAAACAGTGCATCTCGTGTTCCCAGTCCTTTCCTAAATCCCATTTGTGTATTACTTATGTCTTCATCTAATTTCTTATGTATTCTATTGTGAATTACTTTTAAAAACAATTTCAAGACATAACTCATTAAGGCTATGGTGCGATGTTCATTGCACTCCTTTGCATTGGCTTTTTTGGGAAGCAGTATGAATGTTGATTGGAGCCATTCTTTAGGTATTATACCTGTTCTATATATGGTATTGAATAGATCCAAAAGAAGATCAATAGATTCAGTATTCACAATTTTAAGTAATTCGATAGGAACTTCATCAGGCCCGGGAGATTTACCACCTTTAGCTTGTTTCATTGCATATTCAATTTCTTCTCGTATAATGTCAGGCCCAGTATCATCCTTAAATTCTTTTGGTGCTTCTGTTCTCTCTTTGTCTTCAAAAAGTTGTGCTATATATTGTGTCCATCTCTGCATTTTTTGGTTTATATCTGTTATAAGTGCACCCCTTTCATCTCTTAGTTGCCTAGTTTGAAGTGTTTTTCTCATTCCTGTTAATTCTCTAATTCTTTTATGCATGTTAAAAAAGTCATATTTTTAGATCTTTAGATAAACCTAAAAGAATAAGTAAAAAAACGAAATTTCCAAGATTTCCAAGTCCAGGAGGCAACATGGTTTAGTTAGAAAAACAAAAAATTAAGAGAAAGTGGTCAACTTTATTTAGGTACAGTGAAACAAGATGAAAAATGGTCTTTTGATAATTCTAAAGAAGCACGAGTTATGAAACCAAGATGCAAATGTGCATCGAAAGTCTTATGAAATGTTCTTTGATCAGTGAACATGAAAGGTTACGTATTTTTGAGTCATTTTGGCAAATGTCTTGGGGAGAAAAAAAGATTTTTATTAATAATCACAATCATAAATCTGTAACGACTAAAAGACATCGGAACCGAAAAAAAAAAAAAAAGAAAACGAGACGAAAAGGGGACAAACTTTGGAATATTTTCTACCGGTTTAAGAAGAAAGCTTTAGAATGTGCAGAACTATGTTTCTTAATACTGTCGTAATTGGTCGCTGGACAATTCTTAGCTACAAAACTTTATTTAAAGTTATTATTAAACTATATTTACAATAATTAATATCTACGTTAGAGTCAGTTTCAAATTCTGCTTCGCAAGTGACGTCACACTCTGTGAGTGCGATGCGTCTGCACATACCGGTGTAAGTGTATCGTGGTAATAACCATTTGAATTATCAAACTTTGTGAAGAGAAACCTTAAAAATGGTGAGCAGATGTTAGTGTGTAAAAAAGAACCCAATATTTTATGTTATGACTTTTTAAGAAAAGTTTTTTCAGGATTTTTTTTAGGATTTTTAACTTTTGTTTCATTTAAGTTTAGGGAAGACCCTGTATGCTACCAGGTATAATATCGGACTTTACAGCAAAAGTGATCGTCCTCTATGTATTTAACGATATTTACTTATAAATAATGTTCAAAAAGGACAAATGCCAGATGCCAATAAAGTAGCATATTAGTGCATGTTTCCAAAACTAAAGTAGACTACAAAATTAAGGTTAACAATTACCTGCTCCAGTCGTTCCTTTTCCTTAGCGCTTATTCCAGGCGGTAAGACATGTAGGAACTTCAACAGCAAATCCAGTCCTGTCCCGCTTACACTCGAAACTAGGAAGATAGGGACCACGTTTTCTGCCAATTGGTTAGCTCCAGCCGTAATGACGTCGTCAACACTTTTTATTACAAGTGGTATCCTTCGTGTTCCAACTTGTTTCAGAAATGATTCCAGGTTTTGCAATGTCGTAGTCGGTGATGCTAAATCAATCTTCGTTATTACTATGAAAAAGGGTACGTTTAAGGCAATGGCGATAGCTAGATGCTCGTGGGCCATGCCTACAGCTCCTGCAGTACTGGAAATCTGGAAAGGAAAATTTTTTTAACTATGTTTTTTCAAAAATTTAAAAATAATGCTTGTATCGGCATGTAAGTCATATATATTTATTTAATTTCAATTTTACTAGATCTTTTTTCACTTAATTTTTATTTAATCAATTCAAATTCATATTTAATAATCACACACATATAATATTGGCATAATTGCTGTAGATTTTGTACCAGACAGCACTCTAATACGCGTTATTATATTTTCAGCACTTAGTTTACCATGTATCTGCACGGATCTGCACTCATCCATCACTTAAGACGCCAAGATCTTTCGTCTTTTTCTGCAGTATCGTTGTTTTGTGATGGTTGCGCTAGCCAAAATAAAAATGCTCATATTGTTCATGTTTTGTGCTATTGGCTTAAAAATGAGGCTCCAGAGAATTGACAGAAAATTCATGTAACCTTTCCGACTCGTGGCCACAGTTTTCTTCCAGCTGATCGAGCTTTTGGCCGTGTTTGGCCGGCGTATGACTCTACATGAGTAAAAGAGTCAGAGTCATACGCCGCCATGTTACCTATCCAACGGTAACTTAACCATCACAAATTAGAAATACTAATAATGTAAAACAACTTCAAATTTATAACATTTAAAGGGTTTTTACCCATATATTTTGGTGGCTACTAGGATGTACAACCGTTTGCACTGATGATGGATTGTTTAATCCGAAAACGTTTTGCAATGTGTTTGTGATAGTCCGTTTGAGGCATTTTTATATACCTTTTATAAGGGATTTTAAACAAAATTTTTTTGTGATATATGGTATACAGCCAGCTACAGGAACTTAGTTTCCTCGTGGAATTTCATATCACATGTTAAACCTACTTTACAGGATAACGTTATTTTATTGTTAGACAACCATGAAAGCCATGTTTCCATACCCACTATTAACTTGGCAAAACATTCGCGAGTCATTTTAGTTACTTTTTATCCCCATACATATGGTAGAAAGATAGGCGCAGCAAACTGGCAACGGTTGGCAATGGATAGGACTGCCTAGCGTAATAGACTTGAAGGCATTTAGTCCAAACAATATAACCAAGGGCTTTCAAGTATCAGGTCTTTACCCCTTAAACAGTGATATTTTTACTAAACAAGACTTTTTGCCATCTAACATAACCGAACGAGAGGATCCATATTTACAGAACTCTTCCTGTTTATTCTGACCCCGAACCACCGCATCGTAATGCTTCCAAAACAGACCCACACCAGAAGCTAAGTTGGATTTTCAAGAACCAATTCCTGTTATGTCAAGTTTTATTTCACCATATGAAGTTCGTCCCATTCCCAAAGATTTGCCGCCAAAGGGAACGTTTCAAAGGGTCGCAAAAAGGAAGGTCTCGCATTCTTACAGACACCCCAGAATAACGATATAAAAGAAAGTAAGAAAGACAGTATGGAAAATAAGCGCAAAAAAACTGCAAAAAACAAAAAAAGTAAAACGTAATATTGAAGAAACGTCGTCAGAGGAAGATCAAATTGATTTTGAGATTTGTAGCAATAGCAGTAACTGTAATTATAATTCTTTGTCAGATTTAGAAATTGATTGCATTCAATTTACTCCAGATGATCTTCAGAAAGGTGATTTCAGTTTGGTGCACTTAAAAGTGAAAAAGCATTCAGCATATTTTGTAGCCGCAATATCAGGAAAGGTGGACGAAACAGAGTTCCAAATAAAATATTTAAAGAAAGCTCACTCCTTTGCACATGGCTATACATTTACGGTTGAAGATGAAAAGGAATATACAACTAACACCAGCGATATTATGCAAAAACTTCCTCAACTACGTACAGCAGGTTCATCCTCTCGACAATCAAACACATTTAGTTTTCCAATATCTTTTAAAAAAACTAATTTAGGGTAGTCTGTGTATTATTAGCAGTTTATATTTTCAATAAAATTTTCACGAATATTAGAAAGTATTTTTGGTTTACACATTAAATTCTGGTTGTACAGGTACTTCAACTCGTGTCAACTCTTTGTGTCCAACAACAGACCGGTTGTTCCTATGGACACGTAGATACATACAAAAGAAGTGATAAAATGGGTAGAAATATATAAGTTGGAAAATTGGCATTTTCGAATTAGCTTCACAGAGGTATGATCAACTGTCCAGATTTTATTATTTTTTAATATCTTTATTTGTCCAATTTATAAAAATCAAATTGTAAAAATTGTCCCTAGGTACTACATGTTCCCCTATACAAATGGACCCACTTTTCATCAATCGTTAGATATTGAATAAAAAATTTTTCGGACGGCTTTTGTAATTGCCTGATGTAGGTTAGTAGTTAAAAATTACACTTTTGATTATTTTCGAGTAATTTTTGCAATATATGGTGTATATTTGCTGTTAATATACCATTACACATATTTCTAATAGAATTGATTAAGGTAAAAATGTCAACTTTTGCGTGAAAACGCTGATATACGAAAATTATATGGTGGAGAGTATAAAAAAAGTATATCAAATTTAAATTTACACTCTATCTCCTTATCAATTAAATCCTACACATAAAATGTAAATAAAGGAAGCGGCAATTGATATGACATCGTAATCAATAGCGAAATTATTTATCAAATTGATGAAATATTCGAAGTATTCTGATGAGAGTATTTTTCTTTGAAAAAATTAAATTATCCACTTCATTAAAACCCTTTGTCAGTCTTTCTGAAGTGATCACCTTAAACGATCATTAAATGCTCTATCAATTCATCAATAACGGATATAATCAAAGAAATAATGAATGTACATGCAATATAGAAAAAAAAACAACTTAACAAAGGAATATAAAAAATATGATGGAAAATGGCGGAGGATAGACTATCACTGATAACTTAAGATTTCCTTATTTAAGACGAAGATGGTTTTTTCATCAATATGTACATGTGATATGTGATAGTACAAGATGGTTTTTACATTAAATATCGTTCCAATATTTTAAAGAGTACAGAAAAAAAAAACAAAAACCAAAAAACTTTATAATAGTAATCACGTAACTAAAATATTTCCCTTTAAAAAACTCATAGCTCTGATATTATCAGCCGAGACAATTTAAACGACCATAAATTTCCACAATAATATAATTTGAAAGAAAATGGTACAAAAAGTTCCACGGTTTAATCCAACCAGCATTAGTTTCCTAGATAAATACCGTCTTATTACGCTATTATGATAAGTTTTGAATAAGTTAAATACACGTGAAAGCCATTAGCAGTTCTGGTAAAAAGATAATCCGTAACATTTTTGCATATATATGCAGGGTGATGTTTTAGTGCGAATTATTGACCCATGTCGCATATACAGTGAACGGCTAAATTATGGAATATTATCGTTATTTCGAGAACCGTCGAGTTTTGAGGGAAACAGGTCGATTTTTGTTATAAAATACCCATCTTATAACGTACATGGAGTAGGGATGACGTCACCGGTATGGATGTAATGACGTAATCGTTAATTGTTTAAATAGAAATCGGCATGATGCGACTCCTCATTTGAAGGAGAATTTAATTCTCTATTTAACGACATTACATTTTTAACTAAAATATTTTTTTAAGGGTACAAAAACAATTTTTTTTTTTATTTAAATACAACTAAATTACAACTAATGATTTAATTCATAATGTACTTTAAAGTAACCAAATTATGCATAACAATTATTTTAAATTAAATGTTCGAAATGACATCCATAGGTTCCTGCCATGACTTTCTGAAGTAAATACAATATTGTAATATGTGTTTGGAAATATACAAAAATTTTAATCTTAAGCATTAATTACTGTTTCGAGAAATTGTTGTCAGTGCGCGTGCATTTAAAACAAATGATACTCCTGTGATTAAATGAACGAAAAATTATTAGAAAAACACAAAAAAGTAAACGAAAGGTTACCTACCAGTAACATCGCATGGTGTGGAGAATACCCAGTTAAACCAGCTATCGTTGTCCTTAGATATTTCTTGTGCCCCGCAAGGTCCATGAACGTGACTAATTTAGTTGAAGTGTCGCAAATTTCTTCGGCAGTTATCAACTCGCTGTAACTGTAGTTTATTGGCTGACCCTAAATAGATTTTTATTAGTACAAAGAGGCTTACAACAAATTTAAACAAAACCGTTATTAAAAAGCCAGAAAGAGAAGAAAGAATATCCTTTTGATAAATAATCAAGGAGAGGAATTTGCAAGATTGAAGCATGAGAACTGATGGAAACCAATCTGACGGTCAAGGAAAAAACTCATTGCTGAAGGGTCTTAAAGGCGTCAACGAATAAACGGCAGATTTTGGTGCGTAAAAGAGAATCCATCAGTCACTTACATGATATATGGAACCATTTACAATTTTATATTAGATCTTTGAGGTGTAGGGTTGTGTTATAGAGATAGTACCTTTTATTGGAACGACCACGTCATAGAAGGGAGATGGTTCTTGATAACTGGTCCTCATAAGACACCTAACTCTCACTTATGGCTCCACGTGCCACACCCCGGGCAACTGCATTGGCCTGCAGGCTAAACTAGGGGTGAGGGTAGCCAGATATGGCGAAAATTTCACCGAGTGATTGCCGGTATAAGCAGTCCCCCACTTACTGACCAACGGCTTCGGGCGGATGAGTTAATAAGTGTTTAGGGCACTCTTTTGGCCTGGAGTTGAGAAATCGGCTCCGAAGGCGGATGAACCAACAATGTGTCAACGGCATAAGGATCAAGCAGGCAAACGGAAAAGAACTCGATTACATATGTCAGGACACGTTATGAAATGACAAACGAAAGTAGACGTGTGTAAAATGGACGACCGGGTAGATGGATGTGGGCAACCAGGCTACATCTGCGAAAGTGGTGACTGGAAACCCAAAAATAAAACTACGTACAAAACACCGTATAGCCACATGGAACGTTAGAGGTTTGTTATAGGAAAACTACATATCTTAGAACGAGAGTTTATGAGAGAAAAAGTAGACATATGTGGAGTTTCAGAAACCCACTGGGAAAGTCAGGGTCACTGGGAATTTAACTACTATAAAATATTCATGTCGGGAGCCAATAAAACTGGTCAAATAGGCGTAGCAATACTGGTACAGAAGAACCTGGCAAAATGTGTATATGAATACCTTCCAATAAATGACCGTCTAATTAAAATTACTCTCGATGGAGAGCCAACAAAGGACCATGTACTACAAGTGTATATGCCAACATGCGATGGAACAGATAGGATGTTTAAGCACCATCCGCGAAGACTATCAACTTGGACTTCACCGGGGGAAGATATAAAAATCAAATATGTTATATTTTTGTGAGCAAACGATGGAAAAGTTCAGTAGTCAACGTAAAGGCAAAACCAGCGTCTGATTGCGGAACAGACCATAAACTGTTACAATCCGAATTCCGTATCAAAGTTCGTAAAAAAAACCGAAACAAATAAAACAATTAAATATATACCTAAAGAGCCTGTAAAATACAAAGAAACACTAAGACATAGTAACACACCAAACATTACTGCCGATCCCAATCAAACATGGCAACATACAAAGACGTGGATTATAGACGCAATAAATATTACAAACCCCAAAGACATTCACTCTTTGACCTTCAATACCTCGGCAACCAGTAAGCCGAATGTATCTTTTTTTTAAAGAAGCGTCTTTTAATATTCTTTAAGTGTATAAATTTTGAAATTGCTATGTTTAAAGCTCGTAAAGTTATTCAATTTGTTTATAAACCTAAAAAATGTTTAAAACTTAAAATTTTTCTAGGCTCTCCTAGTGAACCGATTTGAATTTTACAAAAAGCGTTTGAAAGTTTGAGCCTTCCTTTATATGTAAAAAAAATTGCAACTATCTGAGGGCCTTATTTAGGGCCTACTATTTTTTTTTTCCAGTAGGCCTGATTGCAAAATTTATGCAAAACCTATCCGACCGATCTTAACAAAATTTAGCACACGTTTTAAAACATATTAAAAAGTTTTTCTAGGCGGAATATAGAGCTTGTAAGTCAAGTTTAGAATGTCTAAAACATTTAAAGGATTAACTTCATTTTTTTGTACTTTTTTTTTCAATTATTGCTATTTTTTCAACAATAAACATTAAATTTTCAATTTCTAGCTAACGAAATATTGTGTAAAATTGAATAACGAAACTTTTAACTTCTTATAATTTTTTCTCTAGGATCAATATTTTCCGAATATAAACGAAAATAGGAGCAAAAAAATGAGAAATTTTCAATTGTTTTAGATTTTGTTAAATAAAAAATTTAGCACAGGGTTTGCGACTGGCGCATATCGTGATTATCGATATTGGGCACATCCTGCAGGGATTCCAGCAAAAAATAGCTTCCTATGGAAAATGTCAATTATGGTCTGAAATATGGACTTAAAATTAATGTACAGAAGACCAAGGTAATGATAATCGATCGAATTAGAAATAAGCCGGAAATACGAAACTATATGTACTGTAGTTTAAGTAGTTTATCAAGTTTAAATTCTTAAAATTTAGAACCTTAAAATTTTTTAGAATTATTTAATGAGGATTTAAACCGGTCCTGATAACTTAAAAAATTTCAACAATAGATTATTTATAAGGGAGGATTATTTTTATTACTTTAACATCATTTTTAAGAGACCGTTAGAATAATAAAAGCACTATATTTGTGAAAGTTCTTAAAAAAATAGTAAATCCCAATAAATTTAAAAAAACAAACAAAAATTTTGTTTACTCCAACTTTATGGAATATTTCAATGTTTTGCCAGAAGCGCTAAAAAAGAATCTCGTTACGTCACTAAGATGCTAATTTGAAACACATTCATTAAACAAATTAATAAATATACTTTTTATTTTCGGTTCTGTTTATTTTGGCAAATACGCTGTGTCCGGATTCTTTAAATATAGGAAAATTGTTTACCTGTGAATTAAATCCAAGGATTTCGTGTGATATTGATGAAGTTCTTCCACTTTGAATCTCGTGAAGATGCCTAAACATATTTAAACGAGCTCTGCCACGTCCATTATCCAAACTTCCTTGGGTCAACACACCTAGTAAAGTTGATTTTCCAGCGTCAGCGTTTCCTAACACAGCTATCCTTATCTCGATGTTATTTTGATCGTCAGGTACTTTTCGGACCAGTACTTCAGCGACGCTTCGTCCGTTATCTAGCACTCGCTCTCGCAATATTGTCGTCGTTGCTCCCAGTTTTATTGCCATTTGTTTAAGCGTTTGGAGACTAGCATTCATGTCTCGAGTTGTCAAACCTGCCAAGATACCACTGTCTTCCACACCGATTTCGTAGATAGCCTCTCCATTTCCCTCGCGCAATCTCCACTTTAACTGAAAACAAAAACAGTATATAAGATGTGGGTATCATGGTTAGGACAACTTACGGAACCCATAGATACAGAGAATATATTATTGCTTCACTAAGACCTATGCTATTCAATCTAATCATGGATGAATTCATAACGAGCATCAATAAAGGAAGAGGTTACAGAATGAGGAAACAAAATCAAAATTCTGTTACGCAGACGATGCAAGATTGATAGCCCAAAGTGAAGATAGCCTTCAAAGACTAGTTCACATAAAAGTGAACGGAAGTTTAATTAACAACATTAGGTATGCCGACGATACAGTCATAATAGCCAACAACTTGGAAGACTTGGAAAGAATAATGAACACAATATTAAGATATAGTGGAGAATGCGGACTCTCTCTTAACATCAAAAAACCAAATTCATGAAAATTAGCAAGAATAACAATACAAACAGCCAGCAGATATACTTGGAAGAGAGAGTAAAAAGATATACTTACTTGGAAACGATAATCACAGAAAATAACGATTATACTGCAGAAATAAGAGTCAGAATTGAAAAAGCACTTGCTAAATTCGTGAAAATCAAAAAGATTTTATGCAGCAAAGATCTGACATTGGCCCTCAGGATAAGGCTAATTAAATGCTATGTACACAGTGTACTCTACTATGGAGCTGAATCATGGACATTAAACCGGAATACAATAAATCGACTTATAGCGTTAAAATGTGGACATTTAGAAGAGTGTTAAGGATTCCATGGGTAGATAGAGTCACGAATACAGAAGTGTTAAGAGCTTAATAACAGCCAAATCAGGTGGTTAAAGGACCTCGGAGGCAGTACGAGTTGTCGATGCTCACACTGCAATAAAACTCTGAGAAACGTCCACTGTTTTCTGACGAAAAAGTCGGAAGTTCTAGGAATAGAACTCAGCTCTTCCAACAAATCCTACTCTCACGTCCTCGAAGGCAATATGCCGCGTAACCACTGGGTGTATGGCGCACAATGGGTGTGCGTTATGTAGTTGACGAGAGAGGGTGAAAGGCGAGTTTCTGGCGCCTTAAAACTGGAACATATCGGCTATGGGAATAAACCCAGACAGAAAATTCTGGTCCTCCAGGTTGGGGGTTGTGCTATGGACCAGCGATCCATACACGGAAAAATACACTGCTACGAAACGAATACTATTGCCTCAGAATAGGACAGATTATCAGGACAAACGACGTAAGCTACGAATAAAGGACACTCTATTAGGGACATGGAACGTACTAAGTTGGTATCGACCTGGAATTTCCACAAGAGCAATAAAACAGCTGGAAGAACTACAATACAATGTGACTGCAATCCAAGAAGTCAGATGGACTGGGTCTGGGACAATCCAAATGGAGAAGTCAATAGTGCTATGGTCTGGACATGAAACACGTCATGAAAGAGGGTGTGGTTTTGTAATAAGCGAAAGGATTAAATCTGCTATACTAGATTTCAAAGCAATTAATGCTAGAGTCTGTAGCATAAGAATAAAGGGCTCAATCTATCGATATTCTCAGTGTATGCACCAACCGAAGAAGCAGCAGAGGAAGAGAAGGAAGAATTCTATGACTCAGGGTGCAACATGATTATCAAAAGCACCCAATTTGCCAGGAAAAACATATATAAGGTAACATGGAGATCAAATGATGGTAGAACGAGGAACCAAATTGATCACGTATTAATTGATGGGAGGCATTCCAGTAGTATAATAGACGTAAGAACTAGACGGGGACCAGATAGTGATACAGACCATTTCCTAGTAAAGGCCAAGCTCAGAACTAGAATCTCAACACAAACAACTGACAAACAGATGAAGATCGAAAGATGGAATGTGTCTAAATGGGAAGAAGAAGAGGGAAAGAGACAATACTAACTAGAATTGAGAAACAGATTCCAGGTGTTGGAAACGAAAGAAAATGAAAGAGAAAAGCAAAAAGAAAAAAATGGTTTGATGAAGAATGCGAGGATACCTTAAAAGAAGCAAACAAAAGAAGAATCGACTACCTAGCAAACCCGACGGATGGAAAGCGTGAACAATACAATAGAGAGAGAGCCTTAGCCAGAAGAACAGTAAGGAGAAAAAAGAGACAACATTTACAACAACAAATTGAAAAAGTATAACGTGAACACAGAAGCAAGCAAAATAAAAAATTCTACAAAGAAGTAAGACAACATAAGAAAGGTGCATATATAAGAACACCGAATTTTGTGAGAGACAAAAATGAGCAAATGATTACAGCTGAAAATAAATAATCGAAAGATGGGCTGAATACTTTGAAAGTCTTCTAAATGTCCAGGTAGACGCGGATGGAAATTAAGCAAATTGTGAGTACCAAACGGCCGTGATAGAAGTACCCCCGCCAAGCCTGGAAGAAATTATCACGGCGATAGAAACCCTAAAAAATGACAAATCCCTGGGACTAGACAATATTGATGCAGAACTGATTAAAAAATGAGGGCATGAACTTAGAACTAAAATACACCAATTAATGAAAGAAGCCTGGGAACAAGAAATAATGTCAAAAGAATGGAGTGGCTGTATTATCGTGCCAATACATAAAAAAGGCAGAAAGGATACATGTGGCATCTACAAGGGGAATCACACTAATCGGTACTACATATAAGATATTAGCTTCAGTTGTACTAAAACGATTACTGCCATATACAGAGAAAATTATTGGCGATTACCAATGCGGCTTTAGGCCTGGAAGATCAACAATCGACCAAATATTTACTATCAGACAAATGCTAGAAAAGTATTGGGAATATAATAAAGAAGTACACCAGATCTTCATATATTTCAAATAAGCATATGATTCCATAGATCGCTTAAAACTGTGGAGTGCAATGATGGAGTTAGGCGTACCAAAGAAGCTGACCATGATTGCGCGAATGTGTGTCAACAATTCCTTTGCACAAATTAGAATAGGAGGCAAAACTTCAAAGGCTTTCGGCATAAGCACCGGGCTCAGACAGGGAGACCCGCTGTCCCCATTACTATTTAACCTAGCATTGGAATACGCAATGCGAAAAATCTATACCAGAATCAAACCAGACATAACTGTCAGAGGAGCAAAGATTATTCTCGCATTTGCAGATGATGTAGATGCAGTAGCACAGACAACACTGGAAGTTAAGGATATAGTATCGAACTTTGAAGAAGCAACACTAAGCGTAGGCCTGAAAATAAACGAAGAAAAAACTAAATACATGGTCGTATCAAAAAAGGAACGACAGCGAATAAGACAAAACATTACCATAAACGATCATAATTTTGAGGTGGTCAAAGAATTCAAATACCTAGGAGCAATAATTACCAGTGAAAACACAGGAGAACGGGAGGTTGAAATACGAATACTGGCGGAGAATAAATCATTCTTTGCCATTCAACATCTAATGAGGTCAAAGCTTCTCTCAAGGCGTGCCAAAATCCAAATGTACAAAACCATAATACGACCAGCAGTGACATATGGAAGTGAAACATGGACATTGAGAACGAAAGAAATCAATAAGCTATTAGTATGGGAACGCAAAATCCTGCGAATTGTATATGGTCCTTGCAGGGACAGCGTGACAAATGAATGGAGGAGCAGATACAACAATGAAATAGAGACTCTCTTCGGGAAAGGAAACATCGTAAGATACATAAAAGCCAATAGATTAAGATGGACAGGCCACGTAGTACGGAGTGATGACGACAGACTGATTAGCAATGTGTTTTGGGAAAGACCAGATGGTAAAAGATGGACAGGAAGGCCTAGAAAAAGGTGGAAAGACGCAGTCAGGGAAGACCTGGAGAAGATGGAAGTAAGGCCATGGGAAATAATAGCACAGGATCGGAATCAATGGAACGCAATAGTAAACGCGGCAAAAACTCACGAAGAGTTGTAAAAGCCAATGATGATGAAATCAGTATAGTTGATTCTGTAAAATTTCGTGACATTTTTATAGACAGCAACCTTAGATTGGTCCCTTCATATCGATTTGTTAAGTAAGCCTCAGCCTGCTATGCAATAAGATCTGCTTAGAAGGAAATCAATTTAGCGTCTTCCAAAATAACATATTTTTCTTTGCTCGAGTTTCACCTTCGATATGGTCTTCCTTTTTGGGGTTCTAGTACAAATGCCCAATCTGATATTATTTTTAAATTACAAAAAAGAGCAATCCTGATTCTTTTTTCCCAGTAAACACATTTTACTGACGTAAAGAAGGCCGTCCATTGAGTTTGTAAAGAAATCTATATTATAGTCGGCAAATAAATTATATAACCATCTCCCTTTGCAAATTAAATCTGCAACTTCTTTCCAAAGTTCCGTAAAATGACAAAAGCTTATCTATCTGAAAGACATCAGCTATCCCTTAGACCCTTCAAAAACCTGTAAAGATTTTCTCAATTTTCCTTTCGTTACTGGCCTGTCGTATCAAAAGGGGAAACAAAGACACTGATTAAATACAGTTGAAAAAGAATACGAGTCTTTGAAGTTAATTTCAAAGCTTCTTTTTGTACTAACCAACATCGTGAATTTAAATCTTCGTTTTTATAATTTTTTAATGTACTTTTAAAATTTTAACCTTAGAAAACGGAGAAAAAAATATATGAGACAGCTATATAAAGCAGTTTGTAAGAATTTTTATAAATTGTTCAAATTCTACCTACATTATTTAATCAAAACGTTACAATGAACATCATCTTAACCATGAATCATCGTTATTTTGCAATAACAAGGAGACATGCCAAATATTACATCACTCACAACACAGTCAGTATATTAAAAACAGTAATTTACATCGTGATAAAGCAGTAAAAGTAAAAAAGTAAAAGTTTTAATATGTAACTCGAACAGTACCCAATTAAAATGAATTATTAAAATTGTATTTTGTTATATACGGAAAAGCTATTATTCGTTATTATCGCATTCAAATGATTTTTAATTATAAATTTATAGTATGGTAAATTTCAATATTTTCTGTGAGAATCTGACACACTCGAGC